AGGGATTATCCTCCCCCTGCAAGCCCTCCAGAGATGGTGTGAATTTTTCTGATAGGCTGTTGGTCTTCTGGATTACGGGGTGGTGCTGGCGCCTGTCCCCTACCGGCAACATACTGGTGTAGGTGACCCCATTGGATGAGCTCCTCAATCTGCCTTTTGAGGTCATAACAATCATCGGTATCATGGCCAGGGTCGCGATGAAAGTGACAATACTTGTTTAGATTCCTTCGATTTGGGGAAGATTTTATTCTCCCTGGCCACTTTATTGCGGGAACATCCTGGATCTGTAATAGGATGTGCCTGACGGCAGCGTTGAAGGGAGTGAAGGCTTGTCGATCTCTCTGGAGAGCAGGACCAAGTCGGTCTTTAGCAGGTACTCTGTCCGTCCTGCTACGCTTGTTATTATTCTCCTTCTTATCGTCTCTGTCTTTTTTTTTTCTCTCCAGCTCTAGAGGACTCTCCTCGTCTGGCTCTTGTAATGTCCTTAACATTCATGTATTTTTGGGCCTTCACCAGTAACTCTGGCATGCTCTTAGATGGGTGCTTCATTACAAAGAAAAGAAAGCTTGACGACCAGAGGCCTCCTAAGAAGGCGGTCATACTCACCTTATCATCGGGCTCCTCGACCTGAAGGACCTACTCGTTAAAACGAGTGAGGTAGCTCCTTAGGCCACATCTCGGTCCTGTTTTATGCTGAGCAAGTGGGTGGCAGACTTCTGGTGGCGTCGTCCTCCAATGAAGTATGACACGAAAGACTTGTTTAGCTCAATAAATGTGCCATTATTAAGCGGATCCCTTCAAGGTGGTTGGGAACGCTCTGCACATGATTTCATCGGGGACGTTGTATAGTTGCATCAAGGTTTTTAAAGTTTCAAGGTGGTCCAGCGGATCCTTTGTACTGTCAAAGGTCTCAACAAATAGTATCTTGAATTTTTGGGGGAATGGGTAGTTCGCCACGTTAGGTTTAAAAGGTGTGTCGGTTCAATTTATGAGGTAGTTTACTGTCTCGGGGCTCTGCACCTTCATAGCGTTGAAGACGTCACCCAGCTAATTTTGCACCTTCTTAATTTTTTCGTCCCATTGATTGGGATGAGGGCCTTTAGAATTACCACGAAAATGACTCTCATGCCCAATGCTTTGATTTTCACTCTCGTCCTCTTGGAGAACAGGGTCTCCACCATGGGGAGCCGGAGGAGGGGCTGGAGGAGGAGGTCCCTCATGGTGGGCCCCCTATATGGGGCACCCAAGGAAACTTCCAAAGGGGGGGCGTCCAAGGGGGACCTGGATGGGGAGTGTCAAGGTGAGGAGCTCCTTGATGACCAGGGAGTGGAGTTCCCCTGGCTTGAGGTCCAGACTGCGCTCCTCCTTATTGCCAGAGTATCAATTGTAAAATCTGTTGGTTTTGGGCTATGAGCTGCATCATTGTGACCAGCATCTGCTGTGTATTTGGGATGGGATTAACTGGTGGAGGGGCAACCTCCTCCTCTCGTAGGTTGTCTTCATGCTGACTCACGGTTCTTGTGGTGATTGACTTTGATTGAGCAAAGAAAATGGTTAGGTAGGAATTTTGCAGTTTCTCACAGATGGCGCCAAACTAATGATGCACAAATTGGTTTGCACACCACTTGTCAACTATACAGTAAAATAAGTAGAGGGAGAAAGAAGACAAGGTTTATAGTGGTTCGGTCAATGTAACCTATGTCTACTTTGAATGATAAAGGTCGCCGATATTTTATTATCTCCGATGTAGAGGGAGAGTACATGATTATAAACTTTGAGAGGGGAGGAGATAATTATGTTCAAATGAGTCTGATGCCCCCAAGTGTTGGTGGGATTTATAATTTATAGTGGCTTAGTGTGGTAATTGCATAGCTAGTCGGACGGTCATAACGGGGTTGGAACCGTTTAATAGTCATAACGGATTGGTGTGACTTTAATAGTGATTAAATAGTTTGGCGACCTCTGCTCTCTTTAATGACAAGGAAATTTATGATGTTCTCCAAGTGGCGAGGATGAGGCTCCTATACGCTCTTTTGGTGGTGTAGAGGAGGTTCTTAGATGACCTTGCATGTTCTAACCCAAGGTGATAGAGGAGACTCCCAGATAACATTGCGTGCTCCTTATTGATGTAATTCCTTGAACTTGATGAGTTGACTAAACCGATCACATTGGGTTGAACTTGATGAACCTTTTGAAGTTGAGCCTTAAAATTTAGACTAGGCTTATAACATGAGTTAGATTTTTGAGCTTAGCCCATCAAACTCAACAAAATAACTAAAAAATGACATTTATCGAGAGGGTTGGATTAGCCCTTAAGGATTCGAAGAGGGAATAAAAGGAGATGAGAGAAATCGAGGATGAACAAAGAAAGAGCTCGGCATTGGGAGGAGTTTGTTTTCCTAGTTTTCTCTGTTTACATTGTACTTGGCGTAGATGGGACTGTGACTGATACGTCACAGTTGTTGATTTGTTTCGAGAAAAATCAACTGGTTCAAAGCCTAATAAAGTGAAAGACTTAGTTGAGGGTGAAGTGATGGATATGGTGGTGAATAGTAGAAGGCAAGGGAATTAAAGAAAGGGTTTCAAATCCTATGTCAAATGCTAATGTTGGAAATGGAAGTACAGGTTCTAGGGACATTTCTAGTAAAGCTGATTGGAGGCCGGGCACAAGAGTGATTGCTGATGGACTTGTCACGGCTGATAGTAGTTGCGGAGTGAGAAATTTTATTTAAAACGAACACAAATTTTAAATTTTTTAAAAAATAAAATAATATATTTAAATTTATGACATTATATTTGACACTAAAAGATTTATAAAATGCAAAAATGATCGAACGTTGATAAATATAGCATATACACCTACAAAAAAATAGACTAATTACAACCTCTCATAATAAATGAGACTAACTATATAAAAGATATTAGACTTTTTCTCTATATAATCAATCAAGTTATTAACAATTGATCACTCATTAAGTTATTTAACTTAGTTTTCATAATATATATAACTTTAAAAAAGAGTCTAATATGTCAAAGATTTAAAATGTGTTCAAAAATTCATAATTATTTAATTAAATGACTATACTAACTGATAAAATAAAAAATAATAGACTAAATGTACTTAAATATATTTTTAATAATTTTAAATACACGTGTCTAATATTTTTTTAAAAATTTCAAGATGGGCCCGCCGTGCCCTTAGTACTCATGTGGCTCCGCTCTGTTCGTCAGTCTACCTACGGGAGTGACCTTTGTTTCATCCCATCTTCAATAGTCTCCGATGATATGAGGCCCCCCCAGTATGAAGAAAAAAAAAAAGTGAAAAATGGTATCGTTAAATCTCAAAAATATCTTTATAGAAATCTTAAAAATTTTGAAAGTAGCTTTAATTTAATTTTTTAAATTATAAATTATTATCCCTTAATTCACTCCTAAATTAAAATTAAAATTTATATTCTCTTTCTCTCTTTCGTTAAAATAAGATCATTACTCCAGTACAACAAATTTTTCTCCTTAGATATCATTTCTTTTTTCATAGTATCAAAGTCAATAGGGTTTGGAACATCATCAATAACTACCATATCTTCTACTGTGTTTTGATCATCATGAACTTTTATTTTGTTGATTTTCAAAAAAAAAATGTTAAAAAACTTGTTCAATGTGTTATTAGTTTGATCTCTAATTTTATTTTTATTGTTTTGATAAATAATCCCCAAATTTTTTTAATGTTTTATACTACGTTTTAGGGATCAAATTTTTAGAAGGCTTCATAATTTTAGATATGTTATTAGCCCACAAGAAAAATAAAATTCATTAAATTTTAAAGTCTAAAAAAGTAAATCCAATCAAAATTTTTATTGTAATAATTTAGGCTCATGATCCAATCCTTAACATTAAAAATTTAAAAATAAAAAAAAAGTCAAAAGTCAACTCTCTCTCTCTTCCCTCTCTCCCTACTAAAAAAACAAAAAACAAAAATAAAAGTTAAAACATCTTTTTAGACAACATTAGCATATCCTTCTTCTGTCTCTTTTACATAGAAAATTAAAAATAAATTAATTTTTTTTAAAAAAATAATACTAAAAATAAATTAATTATTTTAAAAAAATAATATTAAAAAAAAACCCCATGTTTTCATTTTAAGCCTCAAATTATTTAAGTCACCCCAGGATATGTTATGGAAGCTAATAGTCTTCTAAAAGAAGCAAGGGAACGTTTGAAGCATAGAGGTGACGATGGACAAGCAGAGAATGCATTGCAAAAGTCTGCCAGGCTAACTTCGGTGGCTATTGAAAAAGAAATAAAGGTATTAACATCTCGCGAGTGGTGATGGTTGAATGGAGTTGAAGAGGGAGTTATGAATAGTTATTGAAAATGAAATAGAAGGTATTATGAATATTTTAGGAGTGGATACCAAACTTCCCTCGTATCCTTTATTAATGGTATAGATTCTCAGTCATTACCATATGTATCTGCACTGTCTATAGTGTGATCCATCACCAGAGATATTCCACTCACTAGCAAGAAGCTTGCCAGACCAATTCATCAAAAATAATATTAGTGCAAATACCTCCCCTAAATAGACGTTTATAGGATTTTCTGGGGGTCTTTTTTATGTTGTATTCAACATCATTCATCTGTCCTCCCTTTCATATCTCATAAACTTGTTGCTGTCGTTTTTAGAACATGCTTTTTCTTTTTTAGGGATACCATGTCGATCTTTTCTAAGAGTTTACATCCATTGCATAGGAAAGTTTGGTACCACGGTGTCGGCTCTCGTCACCGGAGACAATAGTACAATTCAAGGATTGGATTGTTCGGCCATCAAAGCGCCACGTGAGTGAAATTCAGAACTTCTCGAGACAGTTCAGTCCATATATCTAGTGTGGGCGTTAGAGTATTGAAATGAGCTTTCCCTAGTACGAGAGGGGCCCAGAAAGAACAAATTTCTAGAATATCCTATAAAAATTGAAAGATATGATCGTAGCTACTGCTTGTTCCAAGCACATTTGATGTCTAATTCAGATCAAAACTTCCCATAATTTGCCAAACTTTGAAAGAATAAACACCATTCATAATATATCAATTAAGCAGTACCTTAATGAACTCCATGTTCATTGTTCTGTTTTTATGAATTACATTCAAGAGGAAGTTGACTATAGCTCAAATTTGGCATTAGTTATGCATTCTCTCCTATTTTTTCTGAATCAATTCTCTCATTCGGGTTTACGCCTCGGACCAGTAATACTCCGGAAAACTTTCAACATCCCTGCAAATGTCACAATTCCGACCAAACTATAGTCATCTTCAACAACCCAAATGTAATTCCGACGATGCGTAAGGGCTTGAATCATCACAGCCACCAAAGAACTCCGTGGATAGCACACAATCGCCTCCGATGTCCTTGCCAGAGAATACCTGCCAGACCCACCATGCTTGCTTGACCACCCACACTCTTCATCTGATGAACCACTAGAGGAAGAAGACGACAATGAAGACACAGAAAATTCCTCCATTAGTTCTAACATTGCGCCTAAATTCTTCTCTTCCAACATCATCTTAACCAACTGAACCAAGTCCTCTGGCGGACCACCACAATCAATGTACGCCATTAAATCACCTGCCGAGAGAGTTGTGATGGCTGCTGCCACGGACTCATCACAACAGGCAAGAGTGATCGGAGAGATTTCACCTATCAATCTGTTATCTTCGTCAATGACTGCAACTGAGGTTTGCTCTGTAAGAGCCCGAGAAATGGAGGCCAATGCAGTGGAGGCAGGCTCATGATAGTGCACAGCCATGGTGTCCATATCAATGATGTTGAGTGATTCAATTGTGAACGTAGGGATTGGGGAGAAGACCCCGATCGAGTTGAGGAGGAAACGAATCACATCTTCCTGTGTTAGCCAACAAAATTCGCGGCCGTTGTGATGTGTAGACCTGAATGAGTTTGGTTTGTTGAGGACCTTTTTCCTTGACTTTGTGTTGGTATGGCTTTGAATTGGTAAAACCAAGTTTTGGGCTCCTTCAAGGATGCAATCTATTGCCTCCAATAAGCTGAAAAATTACGAAAGAAGAACTAAATAAGATTGAACATATAAAAATGTTAATTCAACACACAAGCAAACATTGTGAAAAAGTATGGTAGTATCTACATATCAGGAAAATAAAAGCTGGCAAGGGATAAGGTAGTGATTTCATGCCAAGAAGTAAACAGAAATACAACCTAGAGCATTGGAAGAATATTCAACATTTGACGCAAAAATTATCTCAACTAGATTCTTTATCAATAAAGTACTTTGTCCCAGTTCTCATGTAAAGGAAAATGAAATATACTTTCTCAATTCATTGTTGAGGAAGAATTTTCAATGGGGACAACAGAGCAACAAATATTTATAAGAGATGGCCAATGGTTTTTTTTTTTTTTTTGGGGAAAGGGGGGGGGTGTTGGTGTTACTGAAAGCACTTTTTTGTTCATGGTATTTCTTTGAATGTTCTGGAGACTCTCCATTCTCAGCAATATTTCTTTCTTTTTTTTTTTTTTTGGTTCAGCTGATAGACATATTTGGGTCAGATTACAGACATCTCAACTAATTTATCTCAACTAATTTCTTTTGATACGGTCAAATCAGTGAAAAGGAGACCAACAACGTCCGGATCAAGGTATTCATTCATAAGGGAGATGCCAAATAATTATCTAGATTCTGATCCTAACTTTAGCCGTCCGAGTTTACAACTCATCTTCATTACCATTTTAACCTTTCTTATCTTAACCTTTCTTATCTGCAATACTTCAAGCCATAAAAATAAGCTGAAATTTACCAAAGCACATCAATTGTTGCCCTTTATTTAGATGAGAATCTGACAACACAAAAAAACACAACTAACATCCAAAAGAAGTATATCTTAACGATACATGTCCTATTTACCATCTCAACTTTTCATTAGTTTGTTACCCAGAACCTCATGTAAAAAATCTCCCAAAAGGAAAAAATCCTAAATTCGGATTCAAGTTCCAGGTTAAAAATCCAACCCAAAACCCATTAAACTATCTAAGTTAACAGTAAAACCCCACAAACGTTGAATTTTTTTTGTAACTTTCCTTTATAATATAGATCTCCATTTGTTTATCTCACCCATTCAATGTTGGATCTAGAAGAAAGGTTGAAATTAACTATATCAGATCTTTCAGTTTGATGTAAAATTTACGAAGTGGTTGATCCCAATTTCAAAAACTCATTGAGACAATCTGTCAGTCAATTAGAATGCATACCTAGAATTGGGTTCCAAATGCTTCACAAGTCCAGGAACTTTGGGCAAAACATCCGAAACCGGAGATTCAAGAGCCTTCGAAGGACTCTTCAGATTCTCCTCTCTACAAAGAAAACACAGCACGTCCACCATGCAAACCTTTCCGATGCATCGACAATCGTCGTCGTCGTCGCCGGCGAAACCTGTAGTCTTCTTTTTCGAAGAATGTTCACAGGTCCAAACGCTCACATAGCTCTTGCCTGACCTCTTCAGAGCCGATACTGCGTCGGCGACGGTGGCGGAAACGGGAAGCGACCTCAACGCCGGCTTTCCAAGGCACAAGTCCGATAGCTCATGACCCAGAAAACTCACTGCCATGCAATAACAAACACGAGATCTAGAGAGAGAAAGAGAGGTTACAGAAAGAGAGGTCAGAGAGAGAGAGAGCCGTGGAACTGTTAGTTGTACGGAAGACACGCCTCCTGTAGAGAGGGGAATTTACGGCTAATGGCAGAAACGGAAGGGTGGAAATATATAGGCGGTCGTCACCGGGAATAGTCGGTGACGTGTTACCGGATTAACTGTTTACCAGTTGGATATTATTATTATTTACCAAATAAGTTGAATATTTTTTGGGTGGATAACACACACACACACACAAAATGGTACCATATATAGAAAAATGATGCTTATCTATTAATCGTAATTAGAGTGATTTATAATCATTAAATATGAAAAAAATAAAAAAATTACATATGAATAAAAAATTATTTCAATATTTTGAACATTAATTATATTATATATATATATATATTATATATATATTATATACTACTTATAAATGTCAACATATCTAAAAAACTTTTGATTATTTATTTTACTCTTAATTATTACCATAAAATCAATTATACCCACATATTATCTAGTCTTACATACCTATTTGACTTCTAAAATATTAGCTAGATAAACTTTATCAAAATGAATGTCAGCAAGTGAAAAAATTTTGATTTTCTATTTTATCCTTAATTATTACCATAAAGTCAATTATACCCACATATTTTTCAGTCTTACATACCTATTTGACTTCTAAAATATTAGTTAGATAAACTTTATCAAAATATTACCTAGATAAACTTCATCAAAATGTTATCTAGAGAAATTTTATCTCTATGAGTTAGTAAATAAACTTTATCTCTAAATTCTTTCTTTTCCATTTAATTTTACAAACTTTACTATAATTCTAATACTACATATTGATAATTTTTAGATCCTATTTGACTTCTAAAATATTAGGTAGATAAACTTTATTAAAATATTATCTAGATAAACTTCATCAAAATATTAGGTACATAAACTTTATCTATATCACTTGGTAGATAAACTTTATCTCTAAATTTATTTATTTTTTTCATTCAATTCTACAAATTCTACTGAAATTATAATACCACATATTGATAATTTTTAGGTAATAAATACAATCATTCATATAGGTCTATAGCTTGGTGAGAGGGACTTGAATTTCATCTCAATGTTCGGTGGTCTTTTGATTTCGCGGTCGGTGGATTCGAGTTTAGCTCAGAAGAATGCTTTGCAAAAGTGTATCGAGCATGCAAAGCTTTGGCTTTTGAAGTCTAATCAGTCTATTGAAGCAAATTCAGCTATTGTTTGTATGAATTAGTTCTTCCAATTTGTCAATTTGTAAATTTGGGGAATTCCTTTTGTTCTTTAATTAATGGTTTATTTTATAGATTCTAGGTTGAGAGATACTGAAAGATTTTCAACCTAACTGCAAAAAAAAAAACTGGAAGAGCTTGTCCAGTTAATTCCAGTGCGAAAGCCAAGAGTTAATGCAAAGGTCAGAGTATCAATTACTATTACTTTTATTATTATATCATATATTTGTTTTGAAGTAGTTTGTATGGTTCTTTACATGTTTAACTATTTTCTGGTATTATGTTTCTAAATCATTGTTTGATTACTATTTACATGAAAAAAATATATATATTTTTAATGGGTTGGAGTATTGTTGAACCAATACTGCAAACCAAATTTTTACTGGATTGATAGTTTATCAATTCTTATGTTTTAGTTCAATAATTCCTATGTTTACGTTAAAATTTTTTATGTTAGTATTTCTTTATTTTATTACAACAGGATAAAACATAAATTGCCATATAATTTGTAATTGTCACATTCTTCTAACCTTGCTCTGTATATTCTCAAATTGACAAAAAGTTTGATAGCAATCCCAAATCCACATGAAAACCAATTAAATATCAAGAAATACATGAAAAAAATTAAAAGTGTATAATAATGTCGAATATTCTAGTCGTTAGTATTTGATGTAGAAAAAATTATACTTTTAATGCTAGAATAAATAGTCTAAACACCATATATTGTAAAAAATATTTGAAAAAACTAAAATATTAAGTACATTTTTTCTTAGTATTTTAATTATTCACTTACCTTTACAAAAAATAATTCAATTTTATTACTCATCAATTTTGTATTTCAAATAAATTTAATAACAAATTAATGAATTAAATTTTTTTCATGAGCATCGCACGTGTGCATTTTTAGTATATATATATATAGATGGAATTGTATTTTTTATCATTAATAATTTTGAATATAAACTGTAAAAATAAAATTTATTGAATATTAAAGGCAAATTCAACTTTGAGTTTTCATATTGTATTATCTTTAGCCAGTCAAAATTTTATTATTTAAATTCAGACGTCTTAAATTTTAATCTTGACAATCCCTTAACGTTAGTCCATGAATAATTTATTTCTTGTAAATATTGTAATCCTGATGTGAATAACTTATCTTTAACTGTATAGGGGAGAAAATTAGTTGAAATGCGTGTGAATTAATTTAAATATTTTTGACCGTTAAATTAAAAAAAAATTCAATTGAATTTGATTCGATCCAACGACAAATAGACGTTGCTAGGGTCAAAGTAAATGTATGCCCTTATCTCATTTGTAAATGTGGTCTTTTTGTTACTACTCTTTCTAACGTCTTCCAAATTAAATATTCATAAAAGACTTTAAGGGACTTGTGATTGCTTTTAAAATGTTAGCCGAAACGTATATAAAAAAAAACACATGTTCACACATTAAATTCTTGAAACAACCAAATTAAAATATTCATAAAGGACTTTTTAGGAACTTACTGATAGTTTTAAATTATTAGTGGGTAAATCGGCCTAAAAAGCATGTTCACACAGAGTCTAGAAAGAAGCAGGCCGGCACAAAAATATTTGAGATTTTGGGTAAAAAATTTAAATGGGGCCCTTAATTATTTTTAAATAAATAGTTTATTTATTTGTAAATAGTTAAATTCACATCTTTTAGTAGGCATATTTAAAGCGAAAATAACTTGTAAAACAAACACAGTATGTAACTGATTATATTAAAATTAACTTAACTCAAAAATTATAGATCAAAAATATAAAATTGAATAAATAGATCAGAGGTTTTGTAAATTCAGTTAAAGTAAGAGCATAAATTTTTTGAATAAATAGACTAGAGTTATTGCAAATTCAAATAAAGTAAAAGCGTAAAGTCTTGTAATTTTGTGTACAAAAATTTGTGCGATCTTTTTTTATTTTCCCTTTTTCAATGTACATATATTTATAATTTTAAAAAAATTAAATATTTTTTGATTACAAAGATCCTAATTTTTATTAAAATTTATTTACATTATTTTGTAACATATACGCGAATGGGATCTGATGAGCCCAAAACTGACTGACCAGACCCAATAAATCAACCAAGTCCAAGTCAGTTAAAAAGCAGCTCAGACCCACTTTGTCAATCCTACCCAGTCTAAAACCCAAGGAACCCGAGAAGATAAGAGTACGTGGGAGAGAGAATATCGGAATATGAACTCATGGAGATTAAATCCTACCTTAATTGTACTTACAAAAAAAAATATTGTTCTCTCCCTCACGTCACCGCCTCATCTCACTACCTCACTAAACTTATATATTATAAACTCTCTCCACAATGAGAGGCATATCAATATCTCACAACACATCTCTTAATATACCTTGACACCCCTTTACACACATAGCTTTCTCTCTTAGTTATTGTAACTTTCTCTATAATTTTATTCATCAATAAAGACATCCGGCCACAATTGTCGTTTTTCAAAAGTGAAGTAAATCATCTGGATTGAATTATTATATATCTGTGTGTTTGTTTGTATTTATTATTTTGTCATTAATTATCTTATTTATTACTCATTAATTACACAATTTCATACTGTTAATCTTACACGAGATCAATTTTATGTATCATCAGTACCTACACAAGCGAAGGTCCTAACCGGCGCTGAAAAGAAGTCTCAAGACTCGACTAAAAATGAATTTTGTTATAGGAATGTGATGTCTTCTGTATCCGAAGTTGTGATGTAAAAAGACTTGAAGCAAGTAGGTTTTCCTCATTTGGGTCTCACTCATATTTAATGCTTGCTAGCTAGCAGGTTTGCTAGGTGTGTCCTTGTAGACATATCTACACACAATCTTATATGAATTGTCCATCTCCTCTTCGAGATATTTTGTGCAATGTACGACTTCATGGGATGATCCTTACCACAAAAAAAACCATCTCTTCCAACTCAAAGCCTAATATGCCAAGCAACTTGTACCAAAATGCTCTTCTAGCTTATATGCCAAGCAAGTATAGTGTGCTTGTTAATAGCCGTACAAGGAAAATGAGGCTGAAATAAACACGTCGGATTCATTCATTTATCAACCCTGTGCTACATTACTCTTGATAATGATGGATATAGGGACGAGTCCTCGTATTATACTACATTGCTAGTGAAAAGTAAAATTAATTCTTGTTCATAGATATGATGCTTAGGTACAAAAGAAGCCCCGTCTCATAATTTATCACACAAAATTCTTATACTATTAAGAAAATTAAATGAGTAGATACAAAGTATGAATATATGTTTGCAATTTGTTTATCAATATCTACCCCCAACCTATGTCACCTTCGTGGAAAGTAAGATCGATACTTTTTGATAGTCTTTTCCGTGGCAAAAAGAAGAATCACATTAAATAGTTTATCATTACAATATACAGAGAGAACTGAATGAAATATTTACGTATATAGTATGAAAAAATGTCTATGATTTTCCTATCCCCACCTCCATTATATAGTTGGGAAGACATAAAGGTTAAAAGATCATTTTGTTACAAAGTAGGAAAAACAAAATAGGTTGGGTGGGT